TGACTTTTCATGCATTTATAGAATTCTATAAGTTAATGTGAAAATGAATCTCTCTTTTTTAAAATGATGACTTGATGTGTACCCTAATGCTTAGCACAGTGGCATAAAGTGTATTTGCCCTAACCAGTTTGGCTCAGTGGGTAGAGCATCGGCCTGTGGACTGAGGGTCCCAGGCTCAATTCTGATAAAGGGCATGTACCTTGGTTGTGGGCATATCCCCAGTAGGGGGTGTTGCAGGAAGCAGCTGATCGATGTTTCTCTCTCATAGATGTTTCTAACTCTCCATCCCTCTCCCTTCCTCTCTGTAAAAATCAATAAAATATATTTTTTTAAAGTGTATTTAGGTTGTAATTTATTATTTTTAAGAGGACTGTTCTATGTTTTGTCTGAAAAAGTACAACATATACAAAGTAATAAGATCATTTTAAAGAATAGTACTTTATTGAATACATTTTATTCACAGAAAAATAAGCTTTAATCTATGACTGCTAGATTATGCAGTGGAAAGTAATTTTCTTATTTTCCATGCTGATGGAAAGGTTTCTACTATATGGGGAAGAAGCCATAAAATAATACTCTATCTCAAAACATTTCACATGATTATTCACAACACTAATACAATGACGTAATAATTAGCCATTCTTTCAGGTTAGATAAAGCATAACAGTAACAAAAAAATGCAAACACTTCTAACAAAAATTACATAAAAGCCCATTACATCAAATAAAAAACACGAATTTGTAACTAAGTATACACAAAATGTCAAAATATACTTACACAATCTGCAAAAACTTTAGACTTCAAAATAGAATCTTACCACCCAAACATTAATGTAGTATTGTACAATTTGAAGATATAGGTATTTAAGATTGTCCTATTGTATTAGTTATAAAGTGTCATTTAATATGTAGCAACAGCCCTGGCCGGTTTGGCTTGGTGGATAAAGCATTGGCCTGTGGACTGAAGGGTCACGGGTTCGATTCCAGTCAAGGGCACATGCCTGGGTTGCCTGCTCGATCCCTAGTAGAGGGCGTGCAGGAGGCAGCCGATCAATGAGACTCTCTCATCATTGATGTTTCTGTTTTTCCCTCTCTCAAATCAATAAAAAATATGTATATTAAAAAAAATAATATGTAGTGACAAAAGTTATGGTATTGAAGAAAGAATAGTTGAAAAAATAAAGTTTTGACGCCTTCCAGGAAAGGTAGCTTGAAGATTTTCACTTTCAAACTATGTCCCAGTCTGGGTTACCACTAATTAGCTATATAACTCTGAACAAATCACTTCACCTTTGAGCCTCAATTACCTCATCTGTAAAATGAGGGGGAAGAATTAGATACTTCTTGAGGTCACTTCTAACTTTGACCCCTATAATTCTATTATGCTGCAAATGAAATTCACATTGTGCCAAGTATTAAACTGAAACTGATTATGAAGGTGGGAATTAGCCAATTGTTCCTATTAGGAAAGCTGACCCAAATTTGATAAATTTTTCAAGATTTAAAAAAAAATATTTTAAGGACTTGACCTATTGATTTATTGCAATTTACATTTTAACTATGAGAAACACCAAAAAAAAAAAAAAAAAAAAAAAAAAGGCAAGAGTCACTGAAAGAGTTATCACCTAACTTTTAGCTCAAATTTCCAGAGTCAAAGGCAAACCAGGAGGGTGTTAGGAAGAGAATTAACATTTATAGCAGGTATTTTACATACCTGATCTCTTGAATGCTCATAACTGTAAGTCAGGTATTACTCTCATTTTTATAGATGAAGAAATGACAACCTCTCTTTTAAAAATAAGATTTCACTAAAAATAACTACATCTGTCAGATATTCTCTCCAGTTTTATTTCTCTAATGGAAATGATACACAACCAATCCCATGTCTCCCACTCCTCTACCGCCTTCTCCCAGATGCAACATCTGAGTAATCAGGAAATAAAACAATGATTTGGATCTTAAGAGTACAATACATGCAACTAATGCTGTGGTGGTAGTCTCCCATTCAGAGAGTTCAAAGAGTTCAAAGTACCAATTTTATTCACTAAAATGAAAACAAGAGAAAGCAACTACCAAAATTTAAATATTGTAACAAAAATAAGAAAAGATCATAATATGTAGGGTTACATTATGTACACTCACTACAACCACCGTATCCGATCTTAGACCTTAACCAAAGGGAAAAAAAGCAAAACCACACACACACACAAAACAAATCTAGTAGGAAAGGCCATTAATTAATAAACTGGAATTTATAAACACTAAAGCCATTTCTTAAAAATTAAGACAAGGCTTTTGATCAGCATACCAAATTATTACAAACAAAGATAACTATTACAAAACTTGACTCTTCATGTGATTACAAGTAGTAAATTGGTGTCACTTGGAAATCTTAGCATGAACTTCATACAGAAAAGGAATGTCTACATGTAGATACTGAGAACTATTCTGGGAAAGGGGGAAGCAGAGATTTGGATCCGGTTATATTTTTGACCTTGCAAGTGAACATTTTTTGCATAATTAGATGGGAAGGATCCAGTGCTTTTTTATAGTGTGAACACAGACAAACATTGGTAAGTCTTTAAAAAAAATTTGACGAGAAGGTGGAGTGCTGAGTGATTTTAAGAACCTGAAGCAACTGCATTTCTAAACAATTCTTAAAATAAACTTGTTAGTCACATCAGCTTCATGCATTAAATTTCACAACTCATGGGGAGAAAAAAGGTCTTGCTTAATTCTAAACACACAAGTTTTAAGAGTTTTAATGGACTGAGGCTCCCAGAACAGGAAAAGCCTTATGTTAAAACAATTCACTCTCTGGCCAATAACTAGATTGAACTAACTACTTGACTTGGCGCAGATAGGTCCTGAAAGCACAGTTTACAAACAGTAACACTTTTCTCCCTTTGTAATTTAAATTTAAATCTTGGACTACACATGTAAAATTTAATGAATATATAACTAATAGTAAAACAAAACCAGGATAGTCATTATTTTTTAAATTCTCATTTAAATTTGCAGTGCAATTTAAAAATGAATATCCCTTAAAGTAGTAATCAACAGAGGTTAGGAGAAAATGATGATACTCTTTCTCTTAGAAAATACAACTATAATTTTTAACAGTTTTACTCTCCAACTTTTCTCTGTAGTAAAATGTCTCATTCACCTCTACAACAGGTTGTTGTGAGAATCTTATAATATAAAGCCTGGATGTTCCATGAAGCATTTTAAAACTTTTTTTAATCTATATGGCATCTTATTCAAGTTTTATTTTCTCTTTTATATTTAAACAACTGTTTTTTCCTTGTCAATATTTTATGATTTCCAAGAGGTTTTTAAGGATCTTAAGAGAACATTTTTTCAGAATTATCTACTACTATCACTAGTCAAGAAAATAAAAAGTTAGGTAGAGGAAAGACCTGACATTTTGTCCTATATACAGCTTAATCATCCTAACGGTAAAAACTCACATGAAACTTTACAATACAAAAATTATATGAGAATCTCAACATGGAAGCCTTCACTACAACTATAAGCACTATATAAACATGCTTCTACTTTTACCTACATAAGCTGATAGATGTTTAAAATACTGGGTTAACAAAGATCTTTTAGTAAAGTGACTTAGGCAGGCTTAAACTAGCAAGGATTAAGGATGAATCCTTACTAATTAATTGGAAGATCTGACACATATTTTATATTTCATTTTACAAAATCAGGAATATTTATTTTGAAACAAGAGAAGAAGACATGGTCTACCTGTCAGAAAACTACCACTCAGAAAGATTTTTCATCCACAAAGCAGGACAAACATAAAGACATTTAAATTTCACATTGGTACCAAAAAGGTTAACTGCCCTGTCTTCTTGGATTAGAAAAACTAAAGCTGAGCAATAAGTAGTTTTGCAGGCGTTTGAACATGCCTAAGCCTTTAAATCATAAAATACTTTCTAAAAATTCTGATTACAAAAGTAACATATACTTACAAAAATTCAAACAAAACAAAAATAAAAAAGTAGAAAGTGAAAGGCCCCGGTAAAGCCCCTCTGGGTCCACCCCCCCGCCCCCCTTAAGAGAAACCATATTTAACAGTTTGGTGCATCTTCCCAAATCTTTTGTTCTATACATATATAAAACACACACAACCTTCATTTAGTTCATTTGATACACAGTGTTTTGCCACTTGCATTTTGACTTATAGCTTTGACATCTTTCATGTCAATGCACGTAGGCTAGATGGCATGCTATCATTAGATACCCTTTTAACAATGACAAAAATCATCTTTCAAAAATCATCCACCCAAGTATGTATGTATAATTTTAAAATAGACAAAATCTACAATACAAAGACTAACATCTAAAAATAACCTCTATCCACCAGTGTGGAACAGTTCATTCCTTTTTCACACAGAACAAATTATGTGATTGGGGATATTAATCTCCACATTTACACAGAATGTTAAGCCTATTTGAAATTCACTTACACTTAAAAGCCAAGTCAGTGCACTACAAATACACATTGTGATCAGGTACAATATGATGCCTTTTAGTCTAGGGTTTCAATTAATAGAAAAAAAAGGTAATAGAGCTAATATTATGAAAGATCTAGAAATTCGCTGAAGCCGGTTTGGCTCAGTGGTAGAGCGTCGGTCTGCGGACTGAAGGGTCCCAGGTTTGATTCCGGTCAAGGGCATGTACCTTGGTTGTGGGCACATCCCCGGTGCGGGGTGTGCAGGAGGCAGCTGGTTGATGTTTCCCTCTCATCGACGTTTCTAGTTCTCTCTCTCCCTCTCTTCCTCTCTGTAAAAAAAAAAAAAATCAATAAAATATATTTAAAAAAAAAAAGTCTAGAAATTCAAATTTTAGATTGGCAATTACAACACTGCAGTTTTACATTTTTCTCCTTGGTAGCAAATGCTAAATGGAGTTCAATGCTGATTACTTAAATTTGGTTCACATCACATATTCAGAGTAATAAGAATATAACACAGCTACTGCAGATTAAGACATAAAAATTTTTTGTTTGAAAGTAATGATTGTGTAGCACATAGGACATTTATCAACTGCTTCAGCACATTGTTTACAAGTGACCAGATGTCCACACGGAATAAACGCCATAGCAATATTTCTATCCATACAGATTTTGCAAAGCTTCTCCTCTTGCAGGAGCCTTAGTTGCTCTTCAACACTAATCTCTGCACAAAAAGAAAAGAAATGAGTTTATTATAGACTTTCTTAGTTGTTTAAATTCATTGAGACAATTTGAACCCCTACTATGTGCCAGTTACTAATCATGTGTTAGGAGATAGGATGACTCAAACATAGTATCTGCTTGTTCTTAAGTAGCTCAAATGCTAGTAGGAGAGAAGGACATGATCAGAGACAATAAAAGTAAGCATAAAGAACAAAGTGATAAGTGCTATAATAAAGTTATCTACAAAATGCTCGGGGACAAGATGAGAGAACAAGTTCTTCTATTCAGACTAACTGGGTTGGCAGCTGCTAGGAGTGGGGAGTGGAAAGTAGAGGAATGACATTTGTCATGACCAGAAATTGCCAGGCAGAGAAGCAAGGGTTACACAAAAGAAGTAGTGTATAGAAAGGGCATGGTGCCTGGCCCATGTGGCTCAGTGGTTGAGTGTTGACCTATGAACCAGGAAGTCACGGTTCTCCTCTCTCATCATTGATGTTTCTCTTTCTCCCTCCCGGAGATCAACAAAACTATATATATATATATATATATATATAGATAGATAGATAGATAGATAGATAGATATAGATATAGAGATAGATATAGAGATAGATATAGAGATAGATAGATATATAGATATCTATCTATCTATCTATCTATCTATCTATCTATCTATCTATATATATATATATATATATATATATGAAACGGCATGGCTTATTCCAGAAATGGAAAATGGAGGGATGGATTTGAGGGGCACTTCTGAAGTGGGACAAGTAGGATTTGATGACTGCCTAGAGGTGAGAAATGAGGAAGAAAGAAGAAATATAGTTGATTTCAAGACTTCTTGTGTGGCTGACAAGATGATGGCGATGCCAATAGGAAATATAAAAGAAAGTACAGGTTTGGGATTTTCAAGATATTTTTGAGGTGTCTGTAGGGCATCTATATAAAATGTCTAATAGGGGGAGGATCCAAGATGGCTGCTCGGGTAGACATCTAGCCGTGGCAGCACACAACAATTTCAATGGAATACAACTAAAATGTAGAGTGGACATTGCCCAGAGCTACAGGTAGTCGACTGACTGAAATTTCTACAACAAGAAGGAAAGAGAAAACCAGAAAGAAAATCAGAGGAGCTGAAAAAAAGCCTAAGGTACGGAGACATGCTGCGCCTGCCTGCCCGCCCGCATGCGCGCACGGAGAGGTCGCAGCTGGAGAGGAGGAGAGGGCGGGGAGCCGCCTTTCCTTCCCTAGCAGGAAGGAAATAAAACCTCCAGCCTGGGCTGAACCCCCGAACCGGCAGCGCTGAGCCCCCCCGAACCGGCAGCGCTGAGCCCCAGTTATGGGCCAGACCCTGGGGACCCAGGCTCCGGCGGGAGGAGACAGGGCCGTGAGGCAGAAAAACGGCGAAAGGCAGGGCCCCGGGAGTCGCGCGCAATGCGCGCAGAGGACTGAATGTTGACTCTGATGCTGGGTTACCCTAGCCAGAAGAAACAAGGCCTCCGGCGGCGCTGAGCCTCAGTCCGGACTGCTCCGAACCCCAGTTCTGGGCCAATCCCTGGGGACCCAGGCTCAGGCAGAGGGAGACGGGGCTGTGAGGTGGAGTCCGGGGAGAGCGGCGAAAGGCCGGGCCCCCGGGACTCGCGCAAACTGCGCGCAGAGGACAGTCTGTGGGACTCGCGCAAACTGCGCGCAGAGGACAGTCTGTTGACTCTGATGCTGGACTTCCCTAGCGGGAAGGAGAAAAAAAAAAGCTCTAGGCTGGGGGAACGCGGAGGGGAGCGGAAGCCCCTGCCGGACTCCAGCCAACCGGGCACCAGCAAGGAGGCGGGCCACGGGGCCCCTGGGGGCGTGGGTGCCCCTGAGCCTTTGACCACTGAGCTCGGGCAATGGAGCCAAGGCCTGGGGCTGCTTCCTGGGCGGCGCCATCCCGGCAACAGGCTGAAGCAGCACAGGAGCCCGCGGAGAACAAAGGGGTGCCACAGGCCAACCTGCTGAGCTCCCAGGACAAGGAGGAAGAAACCAAAGAAGTTCTCAATGTGAAGAAATCAAGTGAGAGCAAAAAATAGTAAAATTACTTAAGAAAGAATACAAAGAAGTTCTTGAAAAAATCAAAGACTAAGTCTGAACTCAACTCACCAGCCAACATTGCAACATAAATGCGTTTTAAAAAGAAAAAAAAAAGGACAGAATGTTGGAACAGCGACGGCCAGGCCTAGAGTGGCCAGGCACAAGGCAGTGGCAGCCAGACCCGGAGCAGCAACGGCCAGGCCCCAGAACAACAGCAGCCAGAACCAGAGCATCAACAGCCAGCACTGGAGTAGCCAGACCTGGGGCAGTGGCAGCCAGGCATGAGGCGGAGGTGGCCAAGCCCAGGGTGGCCAGTCCAGGAACACCCGGACCCGGAGTGGCCGGGCCCAAAGAAGCCGGGCCCAGAGCAGCCGGGATGGGAGCAGCCAGACCCAGAACAGCAGTAGCCAAGCCCAGAGCATCCAGGTCGGGAGTGGCCAGGCTCGGAGCGGCCGGGCCCGGGGCAGCCGGGCCCAGAGCAGAAGGGTCAGGTGCGGCCAGGCCCGGAGCAGCAGCTGCCAGGCTGGGAGCGGCCAGGCCCGGGGGAGCAGTCGGGTCGGGTGCGGCCAGGCCCGGAGCAGCGGCTGCCAGGCTGGGAGCGGCCAGGCCCGGGGGAGCTGGCGGGTCGGGTGCGGCCAGGCCCGGAGCGGCGGCTGCCAGGCTGGGAGCGGCCAGGCCCGGGGGAGCAGGCGGGGCTGGTGCGGCCAGGCCCGGAGCAGCGGCTGCCAGGCTGGGAGCGGCCAGGCCCGGGGGAGCAGGCGGGTCGGGTGTGGCCAGGCCCGGAGCAGCGGCTGCCAGGCTGGGAGCGGCCAGGCCCGGGGGAGCAGGCGGGGCTGGTGCGGCCAGGCCCGGAGCAGCGGCTGCCAGGCTGGGAGCGGCCAGGCCCGGGGGAGCAGGCGGGGCTGGTGCGGCCAGGCCCGGAGCAGCGGCTGCCAGGCTGGGAGCGGCCAGGCCCGGGGGAGCAGGCGGGTCGGGTGCGGCCAGGCCCGGAGCAGCGGCTGCCAGGCTGGGAGCGGCCAGGCCCGGGGGAGCAGCCGGGTCGGGTGCGGCCAGGCCCGGAGCAGCGGCTGCCAGGCTGGGAGCGGCCAGGCCCGGGGGAGCAGGCGGGGCTGGTGCGGCCAGGCCCGGAGCAGCGGCTGCCAGGCTGGGAGCGGCCAGGCCCGGGGGAGCAGCCGGGTCGGGTGCGGCCAGGCCCGGAGCAGCGGCTGCCAGGCTGGGAGCGGCCAGGCCCGGGGGAGCAGCCGGGTCGGGTGCGGCCAGGCCCGGAGCAGCGGCTGCCAGGCTGGGAGCGGCCAGGCCCGGGGGAGCAGGCGGGTCGGGTGCGGCCAGGCCCGGAGCAGCGGCTGCCAGGCTGGGAGCGGCCAGGCCCGGGGGAGCAGGCGGGTCGGGTGCGGCCAGGCCCGGAGCAGCGGCTGCCAGGCTGGGAGCGGCCAGGCCCGGGGGAGCAGGCGGGTCGGGTGCGGCCAGGCCCGGAGCAGCGGCTGCCAGGCTGGGAGCGGCCAGGCCCGGGGGAGCAGCCGGGTCGGGTGCGGCCAGGCCCGGAGCAGCGGCTGCCAGGCTGGGAGCGGCCAGGCCCGGGGGAGCAGGCGGGTCGGGTGCGGCCAGGCCCGGAGCAGCGGCTGCCAGGCTGGGAGCGGCCAGGCCCGGAGCAGCAGCAGCCAAGTCCAGAGCAACTAGGTCGGGAGCGGCAGTGACCAGACCCGGAGCAGCTGGTTGTGGAATGAACCAGAGCAACAGAGGCCAGGCCCTGAGCAGCCAGGCCCAGAACAGCTCGCTCCTTGCCTGCCCCTGCCCCACGGCTGCTTCTCAGACATGGCTGGAAACTTTCGTGGGAACTTGAGGGTCTGCTGAATCAAGTGATGAAGGCTTAGATCTGGATGTGTTGAGTTAGTTTAGGACTGGGGTGTTGATCTGTGAGTGCCTTGGGTGGGGCCTGGATGAGGCTGGTTGACCTAGTGGGAAATGTCTTTTGTGTGAAGTGTATCATTGGGCATGTGGAGGTATTATTGATATGAGAAAATGCTAAGTAACTGATTTACTATCTGAAAAGGGATTTACTATTGGGGAAATTGAGGGAAGAAGAGACTGAACATAAACTGCACCTATGGATGAGGACAATGGGGGATGGGGGGGGGCGGAGGGTGGGGTGGGAACCTGGTGGAGGGGGGAAGAAATGAGGAACCTTTGTAATAATATGAACAATAAAGATTGATTAAAAAAAAAAAAAAAAAAAAAAAAAAAATAAAAAAAAAAATAAAAAAAAAAAAAAAAAAAAAAAAAAAAAATAAAATGTCTAATAGGCCAATGGGGATTCAAATCTTGAGGTCAAGTCACATTAGAGATAGAAGTTTGGGTGTCATCAGCATATGGGTGGTATTGAAGTTTTTGCTTAATTCAGCCTTTCCCAAACCAGGTTTTGCAAAATATTAACACATATGCCACAAAAATGTGTTTTGTGGTCTTATATAACTACAATTAATAACAGCAGCTAACAGTAATACAGCAGTTATTACCATGTACTAGGCACTATTCCAAATGTATTACATACTTTAACAATCTTTGTAATCACTGTATACCATGGTTTCCAAATCTGGTTTCACATGAGAATCACTTGAAGCATTTGTAACAATAGATTTCTAGGCTCCATTCACTGAATCTAAAATTTTGGAGGTTGAGCCTACTGGCATTTGGAAACCACTACTATCAAGTTCAGAGAAGTATAATATAGTTTTTGTCCTCTTTTAGAAATTCATAATGCATTTCCCTACCTAACCAGAGAGCTCCTTTTTCATGGTATCCCTTTTAACAACAATGGGGAACACTATTATAAAAATAAGTTTTTGAAATAGTGGTTTAATTTTATTCAACAGATACTGAACTCTTAAATAGGTTCTAGACACTAGAGATACAACAAATATATATACACACACACACACACACACACACACACAGACCCTGGGTCCCTGATCATTCACAGACAAGGAACCAAGTAAGCACGAAATTACAGTACAGTGTAATGATAAAAGTAGTTACAATGTGTTATGAAGAACATAGGAAGGGTAGGTACATGAACACATAAAGAGAAGGCCTCCTGGAGGAAAGTATACCTAAACCGAGTCCTAAAGGATGAGTAGGAATAAACTGGGGAGAGGGAGAGGCCTTGGGGGACAGGGGCAGAGGAAGAAGGGTGTTCTAGGTAGAAGAATGGCATAAGTAGCTTCCAAAGAAGAAACAGAACAGGGCCTACAAGTCCACAGGTAAGGCTTGGGAATAGAATCTGAAGAGGAAATAGCATGAAATAAGGCTATAGAAGGTTAGGAGGAGCCGGATTATGAAATATTTGGCAGCCCATGTAAAGGAGTTTGAACTTGATCCTCAGGGAGCCAATGAAGGTTTTAACTTGGAGAGATATGTTGAGATTTATGTTTCAAAAAGGTTTCCCTAGGGCAGTGTTTCCCAAACTTTTGACATATGTGTACCCCCTTCTATAATTTTCGTAATGCTGAGTACCCCTCGTACTCATGAGAATGTAGAATTAGGCGCAGCTAAGCACGGTGCAGTGCATATCCCCACCAAACTCCGGTGCAACGTGTACCCCCACCAAATTCTTCCTGTACCCCTGGGGGTACGCGTACCACTTTGGGAAACACTACCCTAGGGGTATAAGGAAGGATTATTTAATATACTTTTTCTTCAAAGGCAATTATCTGAGCATCATCAAAACTATAGGCTCAAAACAGGGTAATTTTAAAAAACTACATTTTTATTCATTTCAGAAAGAAAGGGAGAGGGAAAGATAGAAACATCAACAATGAGAGAGAACAATTTGATTGTCTGCCTCCCACAAAGCCCCTCCTGGGGACTGAGCCCACAATCTGGGTCTGTGCCCTGATCTAAAATCTAATTGTTACCTCCTGGTTCATAGGTCAATGCTTAACCACTGAGCTCCACCGGCCGGGACAAAATAAAGGACCTTATATCATACTATGTAATTATTTTATTTTTTTAAATCTTAAAAAAAATTTTTTTTATTGATTTCAGAGAGAGGAAGGGAGAAGACAGAGATAGAAACATCAATGATGAGAATCATTGATCGGCAGCCCCCTGCATGCCCCTACTGGGGATCCAGCCCGAGACCCTTCAGGCCTCAGGCCAAAGCTCTATCCACTGAGCCAAACCAGCTAGGGCTGATACTATTTTTAGAATACTACTTACTGGGGCTTTTTTGGTCATACAACCACTGGGATAAAAGCTAGTATTCAATCTAGGAGTTCTCAGGAAGCAACAGTGACACTGTAGTTTTCTAAAGAAACACAAAAACCACTTATATCTGTTTTACTTCAATTAGGCCCACCTGTTATTTTGTATAGAATTTAAAAATTCATTTTTAAATGACTGAAAACATTAATGAGAGAGAAACATCATTGATTGGCTGCCTCCTGCATGCCCCCTGCAGCTGATCGAGCCTGCAACCCAGACATGTGCCCTGACCAGGAATTGAACTACAACCTCTTGGTTCATGGCTCGACACTCGAACCACTGAGTCACACTGGCCAGGCTAGAATGAAAACATTTTAGTGCCATTTTTCTTCATCAGCCTTTGAGAGGAGAAATAAGCAGCAACCCTAGCATGAGAAGATAGCCAGTATCAATAATCTGCCTCTCTATTTAGTGAAACTAAGGAGAGGTTAACCAATAAATTGCAACCCCTGCCCCTAAGAGCTGCCATTACTTAGACCTTCCTTCCCTCACCATCCTAGCTTGTAGTCTCTGAGATAATAAGAACCCATTGACTCTCTTCCTATTGCAACCTATAAAATCCTTCTGTTGCAGACCACTTGAGGCATAAAAACTAACACCTTACTCTCAAACTTAAACAGCTTGAGTTGTGGTTAAGATACAGAGAAAAACAACACAATCACTTGTATTTCTACTGCAGTACAAAGATAACAAAGTAAATGATTTATTTTACCATGGCTAAGGCAAGTAGAGCTATTACATATTTTAATAAATGCAACTTTAGGAAAAGAATCTTAGGCTTTCTGCTGGATCTTTTACATCAACTGATGTAATTTTAAAAATCATTAATGTTATACTGTTTTATGACTTGTAATTCTTTGAGTAATGTTTCAAAGACATCTGAAATGACAAAGATCACAAGGATCTTTAACATAAAAAATTAAGTAAATATTTAGGTTTATTTTGTACTACAAAAATTCTCATCTTTTGGGAGAAGTGGTCAAGAGCTCAGAGAACAATCCTATATAATAAAAGGCTAATATACAAATTGAACAAACCACCAGTGGGACAATTGATCGCTATGACGTGCACTGACCACTAGGGGACAGAAGCTGCCCCCCAGTCCGCAGGCCCCAGGCCAGCCAAAGTGGATGCCAGTGGGACACCCTCCCCCGCCCCCTGCCCCATCGTGCCACAGATAGGCCCTAATTGCCGGCCAGCCCTAGGGACCTTACCCATGCACGACTTTTGCGCACCAGGCCTCTAGTAATTATAATAAATGTATTCAGTCTGATACCTTTTCTTTAACCTTCAGTGCAGCTGGCAAGTACCAGAGTAGCAGTCATCCTTAAAGGAGGAACCTGTATTTTTTTTTAATCTAATGTACTTCTATTTTTTTAAATAAATCTTTATTGTTCATATTATTACAGATGTTCCTCTTTTTTCCCTCCCCCCTCCATTGTTCCCCTCCACCAGGTTCCCACCCCCCCCTCTGCCCTATCCAAACCCCTCATTGTCCTCATCCATAGGTGCACAGTTTATGTTCAGTCTCTTCATATTTTTTTAATCTTTTTTTTTTCCTGAAAGGAGTTATATGCATCTCTTCTACATTATTTAATACACTTTCTTTATATGATGCACAGTATTAAGGTGCCATTCATTCAAGCACTATTTAGTAATGTGATCCCTTTATATGTTTATCTCATATGAAAAGTTGCAGAACACTCTAAACCCAGTTTCAACTTATTCTATACACAATGATAAAAATTAGCCTTTGTTGTTCTTTATCTAAAATAGAGCATAGCCTGGCCAGTGTGGCTCTTTGGTTGAGCACTGACCTATGAACCAGGAGGTTACGGTTAGATTCCTAGTCAGGGCACCTGCCCAGGTTATGGGCTCAATCCCTAATGAGGGGTGTGCAGGAGGTAACTAATCAATTATTCTTATCATTGATGTTTCCATCTTTCTCTCCCTCTCCCTTCCTTTTCGCTCTGATAGCAATAAAAATATATTAAAGAGGAAAATATATAATAAAGAGGAAAAGAAACCAGTAATTCTCGCTCAGCCATGTGAGGACACAGAAAAAAGGCAGCCATTTGCAAGCTTGGAAAAAGTCCTCATCAAGAACCATATCTGCCTGCACCTAGATCTTGGACTTCCCAGGCCCCAGAACTGATAAATGTCTGTTGTCTGCCTATAGTATTCTGTTATATCAATCCAAGCAGACTAACACACAGTACTAAGGTTATTTAAAAAATCATTATCTGTTAGATACTTATTGAAGAATTTATAGGTGAATGATATACAGGATGTCTGGGATTTACTATGAAATAATATAGCAAAAAAAAAAAAACATGGGGGGAAGTAATGAAACAAGATTGGAAAAGTGTTGAAAATTACTGAAGCTGGTTGATGGGTACATCAGGGTTCATTATACTATCCTCTCCACTTTTGACTGTGCTTGACATTAAAAAAAAAAAAAAAAATATATATATATATATATATATATATAGCCTTCAGAAAGGGAGAGGGAGAGAAATATCAATGACAGATAATCATTGATTGGTGGCCTCCTATATACCCCACACTGGGGATTAAGCCTGAAACTAGGGCATGTGCCTTGACCAAGAATCGAACAGTGACCTCCTGGTTCAAAGGTTGATGCTTAATCACTGAGCCACATCAACAGGGCTCCTTGACATTGTTCATAATAAAAAGTAAAAAAATTGATTATTCTGCCGAAACCGGTTTGGTTCAGTGGATAGAGCATCGGCCTGTGGACTGGAAGGTCCTGGGTTTGATTCCAGTCAAGAGCATGTACCTTGGTTGCGGGCACATCCTCAGTAGGGGGTGTGCAGGAGGCAGCTGATCGATGTTTCTCTCTCATCGTTGTTTCTAACTCTCTATCCCTCTCTCTTCCTCTCTGTTAAAAATCAATAAAAAATATATATTTTTTAAATTGTTTATTCTAAGAGGGAATGTGAGGAGGGAAATGAATGGGTCACAAAACCAAATAAAATACTACCCATAATGAAGTACTATTAGGTGTAACTTTTTTAAAACTAACCAAGCATACCTTTCTGCAATGAAGTCTGACTTGATTCATGTTGTGTACTGTCTTTCTGAGTGCTCACTAAATCTGCAACCAGAACTTCCAGTGATTTATAGTTGCTCCCAGATGTCTGAATTTTTTCCTCCATTTTTTGCTTAATGTCTCGGAAACTGAATCCCATTCGTATAGCTTCATGTATCAAAGGACTTTGAAAGATGTTATCATCTGAAATAAAAATTGGTGAGCAAAAAGAACAGTTTAAACAATTATTTTCATTAACAGAACTCAACACAAAGTATAGTTAAAAAGGAAAATTTAAGGAAGAAAATATACCAAAAACAAACCAGCAAACCCAAACTATTCTAAGATATTTAGGCACTGATGGATCAATTTCAGAATTTTATAATAACTGAAAATGCAGTGAGTATTTTAGATCACTGTGAGGTGAGATTAGGTTGTTGAAAGACTTGATGAGCCCTAACAAGTTTGGCTCAGTGGATGGAGCGTTGGCCTTTAGACTGAAGGGTCCTAGGTTCGATCCGGTCAAGGGCATGTACCTTGGTTGTAGCACATCCCCAGTGTGGGGTGTGCAGGAGACAGCTGACTGATGTTTCTAACTCTCTGTCCCTCTCCCTTCCTCTCTGTAAAAAGTCAATAAATAAATATTTTTTTAAAAGACTTTATAAAATAGTGCAAGATAAAGTAAAACAGGTAAGCGCTTAAAAAATCTGAACATTTTCCAAATCAGATGTACACACTGACAACTACGTTAAGGCACTTAAAGAACAAATGTCTTTACTGTGTCCCTAGCAATTCATTTGAAAAAATAATGGGAAACGGGGAAGTCTATGACCTTGAAAGTATGAATTTCCTATTTCTTAGACTTAGTTTTTATAGCTAAAGGGCATGAACTAGGTAAAAACAAGGAAGCAAACAGAAATTCACTTTAACAGTACTCAGAATAGGAATACCAGTATGTAAAAAAGTGCTAAAGAGAATATTAATACCCTCTGATTCATCAATTCCACTCTGGGGTATTAAAAATGATGCACATATCTACCGAAGACATACAAAAGATTATTCACAGCAACATTATTTATAACAGCCCCAAACTGGAAACAACTCAAATATCCATCATCAGGTGAGAATGGCTAAATACACTGTAGTATATTCAAATACCACACAGCAAAAAAGGACAAACCACTGCCATAGGCAACATAGATGAATCTCATAGACAGGAGTAAAACATCATGGTTTTTAAAAATATATATTTTATTGATTTTTTTACAGAGAGGAAGGGAGAGACATAGTTAGAAACATCGATGAGAGAGAAACATTTATCCTGCACATCCCCTCTCCCTCCACTGGGGATATGCCCACAACCAAGGTTTGCTTTAAAGGACACCAACAAGAATGAAAAGACAATTTACAGAAAAGGAGAAAATATGTGCAAATCATGTATCTGATAAGGAACTTACATATAAAAAGAATTAGAATATATATATCAAGAATTGTTTCCTCTCTCCCCAGGTTCCCTTCTTTGTTCACTGAAACCAAGATGGCTGCCTAGGTAAACACCTAAACTGATGCCTTGCACAACAATTTCAAAACTACAACTAAAAGACAAAACAGACATCATCCAGAACCACAGCAAAGTTGGCTGAGTGGCAACTGAGTACATGGCTGGCTTTCTCAATTGGGAAGAAGACAAAAGCTCCCAATTGCTCTGCACTCCATTTCAGGTGAGACTCTGGGGACCCAGACTCATATGGGGAGAAACTGGACTGTCTGGCAGCAGATTAAACTCGAGGGCGGCTTTCTCTCAGAGGTGCTTGCAGCAATTATAATACTTAGGACACTGAGTCCCAGGGGACTCTTAGATCAGGGCTGACGGGAAGCCATTTCAGTCTGCTCTGCCCTGAGATCCCATCCCACAAAGCCATTACTGATTGATCCGCCCTGTAACTCCACCCCATCCACGCTGAGTGTAGATGCTTTTGTATATGAATGGCCTGGTCCTTTGAATTCTAAACTTACCTAACAAACTTCAGCTGAGTAAGAGAGCCCCAGAACATAAAAAAAAAAAAGGCCCAAAGCCCCACAGCAGCTTGCATTACTTCATAACTGAGCCTCATCTGGTCACTTCCAAAATCCAAAAAACAAGAAAAGGAATCTGCAGATCTCTCCATAGATCCTGCTGGGTGGCCCCAGGCAGAGGCTAAATTAGCACCTCCTTGGAGATGCAAGAGCCAGTGTATCCAGGGGTCAGAGTGGGACCATTCAGATTATAACTCCTCAGATCCATAAGGGACAAACTCAGGGGGAAGACTCAGTGAGCACCAAAGCCCCACTGAAGCAAGTCTTGCCTCATAAGGGTGTCTTCAGCACAGAAGTTCCCACAGCATAGACATTGCTGATCCTCACAGCCAATTGGCCTGAAGTTCAATTCCTCCCAGCAAGACCAACAACAATCAAGGCTTAACTACAACAAGACTGTGCACATAGCCCACAAAGGGGTGCACCAAGAGTGTCCACCTCAGGTAACTGGTGAGGCCAACCCACTGGGCCCTATAGGATACCTAGTACACAAAGGCACTCTATCAACTCAGGGAAGCAGCCAAAATGCAGAGACAAAGAAACAGGTCACAAATGACAGAAATGAAGGAAAACAAATGACTGGATATAGTGTTCAAAACCACGGTTATAAGGTTTTTCAAGACTTTTCTAGAAAAGGCCGAAAAATTTAGCAAGACCCTCGAGGATATGAAAAAGGACCAGCTAGAAATTAAGCATACACTGACTGAAATAAAAAATAAATACAGAGATCCAACAGCAGACTAGAGGATTGCAAGAATCAAGTCAAATATTTGAAATACAAAGAAACAAAAAATACCCAATTGGAAAAGAAAAAAGAAAAACGAATGCAAAAATATGAAGATAGTGTAAGGAGCTTCTGGGACAACTTCAAGCATACCAACATCAGAATTATGGTGGTGCCAGAATTAAAGAGAGAGAGCAAGATATTGAAAACCTATTTGAAGAAATGATGACAGAAAAGTTTCCCCACCTGGTGAAAGAAATAGACTTACACGTCTAGGAAGCGTACAAAATCCCAAACAAAAGGAATCCAAAGTGGACCACACCAAGACACATCATAATTAAAATGCCAAGAACAAAAGACATAGAGAGAATCTTGAAAGCAGCCATTTACCTACAAGGGAGCACCCATTTGATTGTCAGCTGATTTCTCAACAGAAACTATGCAGGCCAGAAGGGAGTGGCAAGAAATATTCAAAGTGATGAATAGCAAGAACCTACAACCAAGATTACTCTACCAAAGCTATCATTCAGATTGGAAGGTCAATAAAGAGCTTCATAGATAAGAAAAAGCTAAAGGAGTTCACCACCAGCAAACCAGTATTATATGAAATGCTGAAAGGTATTCTTTAAGAAGAGGAAGAAGAAAAGGGTAAAAATAAAAACTATGAACAGCAAAAAAAATCTGATGAACAGAATAATCTGGTGAATATAACAGAATCAGGGCATACAAAGGGAGTGGACTGACAATTCTCGGAGGGAAAGGGAAGTAGGGAGTACGGGAAGAGACTGGACAAAAATTGTACACCTATGGATGAAGACTGTGGAGGGGGGGAGTAAGGGCAGAGGGTTGGATGGAAACCAGGTTGAAGGGAGCTATGGGGGAGGGGGGAAACAATTGTAATAATCTGAACAATAAAGATTTATTTTTTTAAAAAGAACTCTTACAATCCTATCCAATAAAGACAGAATATGCAAATTGACCGTCGCACCACCACAATGATGCTGGTGCCCAGTCCCCTCAGCCCTGATGAAGATTACAATGAGAACTGGACTGAGAAGGTTTTCAGCAAGTGTAAGAAGCAAGCTTTGGTGGGATCAGGGAGAGCTGGCAGGCTCAGGGCCGCTGCTTCCCAGGGAGGCCCGTGGAGTTTGGTTCTAAAACCACAGGGACCCTCTCCAGCGCAGGTTGGGGAGGAAGCACCACTGCCACCTGCCTAGTGCCAGGTCCCTGGTTAAAGAATTGGGTCTTAGTCGCAGCCATGGAGCCGGCGAGCACCTCTGGGATCACTGTCTGCCCCCAGATTGCCTGCAGATACCGATGTAGCAGGCGTGGGTTGAACATTTTAATGAAAATGGGACACCTGCACCCCAGGACCCTGTTAGGAGGCACCGGTGCTCAGGAGGGGCTTGAAGCAGAGGGCCCCAGTTGGTGGGCTGACAGCAGGATGGACCAGAGGTGCCTCCAGTCGCTGTTACCCACCTATCGCTGGGCCACAGGCCCTAACTCTGGAGCTCAGCTATAGGAAGCCCTGGGATGTTTTTCCTGTTATCTGGCTGGAAGTACAGGAAGCAGTTGAATTAGAGTCATGATTGTAATTTAATTTTTCCAAACTCAGAGCTATTTTATTCCCAAATACATCAGGGACCAGGAAACGTTCAAAGAGCTGGGGAACCATTCCCAAATCAGGAAGTCACAGGGTGTATACTATTGCTATGAATACAGTATTTACTACTACTTACAACATATACGATATAATGTATTAGGTGCCTTCCTATCACATTAAGTACGTATTCTCATGGAGTAATACTGGTAGATATGTTGCCGAAACCGGTTTGGCTCAATGGATAGAGCGTCAGCTTGGGGACTGAAAGGTCCCGGGTTCGATTCCGGTCAAGGGCATGTACCTTGGTTGCGGGCATATCCCCAGTAGGGGGTGTGCAAGAGGCAGTTGATCGATGACTCACTCTCATCGATGTTTCTAACTCTCTCTCTCTCCCTTCCTCTCTGTACAAAATCAATAAAATATATTAAAAAAATACTGGTAGATATGTTATAGTTATGGTGATATGTCATATCCTACCTATACTAATAAAAGGGCAATATGCTAATTAGACTGGATTAGGTAAAAATAAAAACTATGAACAGCAAATACATATCTATCAACAAGTGAATCTAAAAATCAAGTGAAAAAAAAATCTGATGAACTGAATGGACAAAGCCATGGTGGGGTAGTTGGGGGTGAGCAGGTTGGCAGGGGGGACCAGTTGGGGGTGAGTAGGCCGGCAAGGGGGGGGGAGTTTGGGGTAAGAAGGCCAGTGTGTGTGGGGGCGGTTGGGATGAGCAGGTTGGCAAGCAGAGTGGTTAGGAGCCAGCGGTCCAGGATTATAAGAGGGATGTTTAACCCTGTGGAATTGGGCTTAAACTGGCAGTTGGACATACCCTGAGGAGTCCCAGATTGGAGAGGGTACAGGCTGGGCTGAGGGACACCCCCTTCCCATGCATGAATTTCACAGAACAGGCCACTAGTTAAATAATAAGAACACAATTAATCCAACTATAAACTGTCAAAGGAGATGAACATTTTTTCCAAAGACATACAAATGGCCAATTAGCACATGAAAATTGCCCAACATCATTAGCAATCAGGGAAATACAAATCAAAACCTCGATAAGTGCCTGGCCAGTGTGGCTCAGTGATTGAGTGTTTGCCCATGCACCAAGAGATTGTTGGTTGATTCCTGGTCAGGGTACATGCCCAATTTGTGGGCTCAACCCCCTGTAGGGATGTGCAATAGGCAGCCGATCTGTTTCTCTCTCTCTTCCAATCCCTTCCTCTCTCTCTAAAACCAATAAAAACATTTTTAAAAGTTCCCCCCCTAAAAAAAACCCGTGATGAAACACTTTACACCTACTAGGATGGTTGTAATAAAAAGACAAAGAATAATAAATGTTAACAAGGATGTGGAAAAACAAATTGGAACCCTCATACACTGGTGGTGGAAATGTGAAATGGTGCAGCCACTTTGGAACACTGGAAGTTTACCAAAAATGTTGAACATAAAAGTTACCATATGACCCAGCACCTCTATCCCTAAATATATAGCCAAGAGAATTAAAATCATGCCCACAAAAAAATTGTACATAAATGTTCATAGCAGTATCAGCTATGTCTACCAACTGACAAATGAATAAATAAGATATATTGTCCATACAAAAACAGTTTTCCACCACAATAAATACACATATATGAGTACAACATAAGTGATCCTTGAAGCCATTATAATTCCATTTAATATGAAATATCCAGAATAGGCAAATTCATAGAGACAGAGTAGATTAGTGGTTGTCTGGGGCTGGGATGTGGGGGCAGCAAGGGGAAGTGATTGCTAATGGGGATGGGGTTTATTGTTGGTTATGGTGATATTCTGTAATTAAATAATAGTGATGGTTGCACAACCTTGTAAATACATTAAAAACCACCAAAATATATTCACTTTATAATGGTGAATATTTTTAAATAAATCATCTCAATTTAAAAACATTAATCCTAAACCAAAACACCAATTTCATCCTAATATATAAAAACCCTGGGTCTGTCACATCCACAATGACTGGAGGCTCAACCAACCGGAAATCAGTCCCAGCAGTCAGCCCTGAGTTGCCATGGCGACCCAGCACTGACTGGAGGGCTGTCAGGTGTCTCAGCCTCGACGCCTCAGCACTGATTGCTGAGGGAGCTGCAATCAGGCCCGGACAGAGACTAGGAGAGAAAAGCAGGGTCTGATCGCAGCCTCTGTAGCAGTCAGTGCTGGGCCCATGTGGCAGAAGTCAGTCTTGCAGTCACTGGGCCTCGAGTTAATCATAAAAAGAATAGTATGCATTGTAAGGACGATTATCAAGAAGTGTTACAGATTGTTTGTTTCTACATAATTTAAAAAATATAGGCTGGAATGAATTTCTTAAACTGTATTATTTAATTCCCATTACAAAATCTACATAAAAGTGGATCTCTTTCTCAAGCATATTTATAAATATAAATATTCTCTTGCCTTGAAATTCTTAAGATACTAATCAGGTGATGCTATGAGTATAGGAAGTGGGGAATCACCAGACATATTCTAAATTAAACTTTCTACTATTTTTGAAACATGATGCCTCAGTTGAGAATGAGATCTGTAGTGATGTAGAATTCAGAATATCTTGCTTATAGCCCTAGTTCCACGAAAGATTTGTAATATATCTGTGGACAGGCCACTTAACCTTTCTGACTCTTTCTCCTCATCTGAAATATGGGGATAACAATATCTTCCTTGCTTATCATATTACATTTCTGGTTTTAAAGATGTCTTTGATAAATAATCTTTGTGATAGCCGGGTCGGGTGCAGCCAGGCCCAGAGCAGCCGGGTCGGGTGCAGCCAGGCCCAGAGCAGCCGGGTCGGGTGCAGCCAGGCCCAGAGCAGCAGCTGCCAGGCTGGGAGCAGCCAGGTCGGGTGCAGCCAGGCCTGGAGCAACGGCTGCCAGGCTGGGAGCGGCCAGGCCCGGAGCAGCAGCTGCCAGGCTGGGAGCGGCCAGGCCCGGAGCAGCAGCAGCCAAGCCCGGAGCAACCAGGTCGGGAGCGGCAGTGGCCAGACCCGGAGCAGCTGGTTGTAGAACGGACCAGAGCAACAGAGGCCAGGCCCGGAACAGCTCGCTCCTCACCTACCCCCGCCCCAAGGCTGCCTCTCAGACATGGCTGGAAACTTTTGCAGGAACTTGAGGGTCTGCTGAATCAAGTGATGAAGGCTTAGATCTGGATGTGTTGAGTTAGTATAGGGCTGGGGTGTTGATCTGTGAGTGCCTTGTGCGGGGCATGGATGAGGTTGGTTAACCTATTTGGAAATGTTTTTTGTGTGAAGTGTATCTTTGGGCATGTGGAGGTATTATTGATATGAGAAAATGCTAAGTAACTGATTTACTATCTGAAAAGGGATTTACTATCGGGGAAAGGGAGGGAAGAGACTGAACATAAACTGTGCACCTATGGATGAGGACAATGGGGGAGGGGAAGGGGGCAGAGGGTGGGGTAGGAACCTGGTGGAGGGGGAAGAAATGAGGAACCTTTGTAATAATATGAACAATAAAGATTGATTAAAAAAAAAAAAAAAGACAACCTCCCAGAAAAAAATAAATAAATAAAATAAAATAAAAAAATACAAAAAAAAATTAAAAAAATAACCTTTGTGATAAAAACTTTTACCTCTGTGAGGTAATATGAAACAAATTAACCATACTCCTCTGTGAAGATGGGAAAGGCACAAAGATAGCATGAAATAATTAGGTAGGTTAGGGTTAATTATGGTGATGGCACATTAGTAAAGCACTGGATTCATGATCCTAGCTAACTAAAAAAGCCCCAGGGACAAAAATATATCTAACCCTTCCTTTTGTGATTTTAACAGAAGTGGTGATGGACAACCTATAGTTAGCTGTTCCTTCCAAACTTGGAAAGGTCTAACCTCCACAGGAGTGTTCTGAAAACATAAATAGCCTACTGATATTTATAGGTACGTTGTTTCTTCTTAAGTTTATAGCAATCTCATCTCAAATAAATACACCTTGGTAAACCTGAAAGATATGTTTACCTTTTTACCCTATAAAGTTGGCAATGAAATTGAAAGTATATTTATTATAATAAGCATATTTACCAATTCTTTTAGTTAGTGATGGTGTTTTTTCAGAAGTTCTTCCCTAAAATAGAAATATGAATTGTAAGTTAAAATTCTTCTTGGTAGAAGGCAATAACCTCAATTTGAAAAGTTACATTAATCATGAACTTAACCTGTTAACCGGGGAGTTCCCTTTTTAATTACACAACGTACAACGGGCGCATACTCTTTCACTAGGACGTGCCAGTACGTCACACCCAGAGGACGTAATTTTTAAAAATATATATATATTCTATTGATTTTGTACAGAGAGGAAGGGAGAGAGACAGAGTTAGAAACATCGATGAGAGAGTCATCAATCAGCTGCCTCTTGCACACCCCCTACTGGGGATATGCCTGCAACCAAGGTACATGCCCTTGGCCGGAATCGAACCTGGGACCCTTCAGTCCCCAAGCCGATGCTCTGTCCATTGAGCCAAACCGGTTTTGGCAGCAGACGTAATTTTATATTATTATTTTTTTTATTTATACTTAAATTAAATGAAATATATATTTTTTCATTTATATATAAAGCACAAAGGAAAATACAAAATTACAAACAAATAGAAAAGAATACCAACAAAAAAATGGAAACATCGAATTAAAAAATTATAAATTTTATAAACGATTATAAAGATTACAGCTGAAGCCGGTTTGGCTCAGCGGTAGAGCGGGTCTGCGGACTGAAAGGTCCCAGGTTCGATTCCGGCCAAGGGCATGTACATTGGTTGTGGGCACATCCCCGGTAGGGGGTGTGCAAGAGGCAGCTGGTCGATGTTTCTCTCTCATCGATGTTTCTAGCTCTCTATCTCTCTGCCTTCCTCTCTGTAAGAAAATCAATAAAATATATTAAAAAAAGACTACAAAAAATATATACCATCCCTCTCAGGGCGCAACATATATTTCAAGGACGTATTCAGATGTCCTACCCGTTCCTGATAGTGCTTATGTTTGATGTATCGATATTTATAGGTCCCGCTCGGTTAACAGGTTAAAATTGGCTTTATTCCAATTCAACATATGAATATTCACAAGAGGCATAGCCTGATGAAGCTAGAAGGAAGTTAAAAGATCATCTAACACAAGCCATTCACTTTACAGACAAGAAGCTGGCAATCAGGAAGATTCAACTTGATTGAGGCAATATAGCTCACGGCAGAACAATAATGGCAATTCTGGTCTTCCATTCTACTCCAGCCTCTTTTCACATGGTACTAATTGATACCTTGGCCACCCTAGGTGACAATATCAATTTAGATATCTTTTGGAGATTTTATTGTCTGTGGAAAGTTTAAAACTATGAGTACAAAACACAGTACAAATTTCAAAAGATTGAGAGATGCAAGTATTTTAGTTCAAGACCATTTTTGCCTATAGTGATATTAAATTCAGTTAATCATAATCCCCTTTTCACAAATTTGCTTCAGATTAAGAATAACAGAGAGCCTGGCCAGTGTGGCTTAGTAGCTGAATGTTGACCTGTGAACCAAGAGGTCATGGTTCAATTGCTGGTCAGGACACATGCCTGGGTTTCAGGCTCAATCCTCAGGAGTGCAGGAGGCAGCCGATCAATGATTCTCTCTGATCATTGATGCTTCTATCTATCTTTCTCTCTCCCTTCCACTCTGAAATCAACAAAAATATTTAACAAAAAGAAAAACACTTTTCAAGATCTCTCCTTTAAAGTTCACCATACATTAATTTAAAGCATTACACTGTAAATTTTACACCAAGAAATCATTGCAAAACAAAGTATATAATACCTGAAAATATATATTCTACAATATTTGACTTACCACAGACTCCTCAAGTGAATGAGTTAAATGAATGTTGTTTATATATTCTTGTCCCTTCTCTTCTAACAGATATTTACACCTAAACAAGAGGGTTAAACTTTAGTAACTGAAAAATTAGTAAAGGGTATGATATAATATCCACCATCTTAATTCCATTAACTTGCTTTTCAGTATTTCTAAGGAGCCACAAAACAAAATGTTACTTGCCCTGCTGGCATGGCTCAATGTTTGAGCATCAACCAATGAACCAGGAGGTCACAGTCAGGTAAATGCCAGAGTTGTAGGCTCAATCCCCAGTGCGGGACATGCAGGAGGCAGCTGATCAATGATTCACTCTCATCACTGACATTTCCACCTCTTTCTCTCCCTCCCCCTACCTCTTTGAAATCAATAAAAAAAAATTAAATCAATTTGAAAACTTACAACTTTTAAGCAAATTATTAAATTATCACTTTAACATTTTTCCAAGTTTTAAATAGTTAATCTTAACAAATGTTATTTAGAGGATTAACCACTTGTGCATTCCAAAAGAATTGTTTAGGCTTTCAACATTCCCTGTTAAAGCTTTTTAAGGTTAAGATTTATTTTCAAATGATTACTCTCAAGTTGTACTATTTTGTAGATAAAAAACGCATACCACTTCTGTATATGTTACTTTATTTTAGAGGCAAATGGGGAAAAATAAATTAATTTAAAAAATAAAGAGGCAAAAATGGCAGACACATTTAGAGTATGTTATCATCACTCTAAGATGCCATTGACTGTACAAAGCATGATTGCTTTATGTACCGTTGTTTCTAATTAACTTATGGCCCACCACCAGATGTATCCAGATTTCAATGATTGAAAGTGTACACAATTTTGTATCTTAGAATCAGTGAGAAACAATAATGTTTGCTAAAGGGTGTGATGAGTTCTTTAGGAATCTCCTTGACAATGGGTTCTCTTGTGCTCAGTGTAAAAGAGCCTACTTCCAACAGCTAAAGTATACATTCCTCCTATGCATACTTTATGTTTAGAAATGGAATCATCTGAATGTCATAAATATAATATACAAGCAATACTGTTTTCATCACCGGAGAAGTCTTTGGTGTTTTTCTCCTATAAAGTAGGTGACCCCATTTTTAGAAACCAGGTGTAAATTTCAAGCCATGGGAAGGCAAAAATAGTTGAGGTGAAAAGTTATTCAAGTCTTCCCACTGCATACTGTCCAATTTGGCTTTTACTTAATAAATATTGAAATACCTTACCCTGGATACCACTTAGCATGTTCTTCCCAAGGGTCTTCATTGGGCTTCCAATTAGTTAGCCCTCCTCCACATTGAAAACACTTTACTTTATCACCTTCACCTAAGAAAACACACAAGTGAAAATACATGTATTTTGTACAATCAGAAGCTTACACAAAAATACCCTGGCTCCATGTGAGAAGCAACTAATCAATGAGCTACCTGGCCGGGGTAGCTCAGTTGGTTAGAGCATCATCCCGATACACAAAGGTTGCGGGTTTGATCCCCGGTCAGGGCACATACAGGTATCAACTAATGAATACATAAATAAGTGGAACAACACATTGATATTTCTCTCTCTCTCCCCCCCTCTCTAAAATGAATTTAAAAAAAAAACATTTTAACACCATGAAATTAAGCATTTCTAAATTTACATAAAAATCTCAGAGCTTAATAGAAGATATTCAAATTCACATCCAAGTTACAGATATGACCATTTAAAAGGAAATACACATTAAATTCACTAATTCAACTTGAGGTATTTTACAGAATACAAAAGTAAAGTAGCCCAATTTTTATAGAGAAAATTAAAATTGTTATTCTTTTTTTTTTTTTAATCCTCACTCGAGGAGCAAAGATATTTTTTCCATGGATTTTCAGAGTGGAAGAGAGCATGAGGGAGGGATGGGGGGAGGGAGGTACAGAGGGGTGGGGGGAGAAAGACACATTGATTGGTTGCCTCCCACATGGGGTCAGGGATCAGACCTGTAATCCAGGTACATGCCCTTTAACAAGGAATCAAAACCTTGACCCACTGGTGCAAAGGCTGATGCTCTAATCATTGAGCACACCAGCCAGGGCTAGGACATTCTTTTTTAAACATGACATTTGAGGCCATCAATACTATACCTCTTCAAACTGTGAAACTTTAATAATAAAGTTTAATGCATAATGAAGTTAGAAGATAAGTTCCTTTAAGGTTGTAGCTACATGATTGCTATGTGAGACTATATAAATAAAATATTGAAATACTTGGTATTTTGGCACTATTCAATCCTAAAGTAAATGGATCAGATACATAACGGTGTAAACTTTTCTGAAAATCCCTTGAAGTTATCACACTAATGGCTCTTCCTGACATGTCTAAGGTAGTCCATTTGAAATAATAAAGTATCATACAGGGCAGCTTTCAAATATAATCTCTACAAAAGGCAGATACTAATTTTAATATCAATTTTACTATCAGCCAAACTAAACTCTCTAATATTAGCTCTTCTTGAGAGGTTCAGAGAAATGTATATAATATATATATATATTGAGCACATAGAGTACGCATTCAATAAATTAGTTTTGTGCATAATGTATTAGTATTGCTATCAGACCCATTGTTTTATCAGGGATACCTATAATCTTTTGCATGTCATCCTTCTCCAAAACACAATTACATGAATATAAACATGACTCATAATACAGTAGTCTTTCACATAAATTCAGTGGTTACATTACATATTCAACATAAGGGTTAACAGAATAATGTCATAATCATGCCAGACCATACCTAAATATTTACCAGTTCAAGGGGCTAAAGAAATCTATTTACTTTTTAGAAACCCTGGGATAGTTGGGAAGTTATTTATTAGCCTGGTTTTATAGTAAAGTTTACCTAAAGCATAAAATCCAGCTCTTGCAAGCTGCTCCTTGTTAACAGAGTACATCCACGTCCCAAAAGTAATGATCCGTGCTTCATAATCTGCCATGGATGGGTTTCTTGGAGAATTTGTTGAATTTGGGAAATTCCTATCAGAACCCAGGACATCAGATTCATTTCGAATATTAACATTCCGTCCCAAAACAAAGAAGCAATTGGGAAAGTGTCGCCTGTGTTCTGACCATGCACGATCACAAGGTTCCCAATTTTTCAGTTTTCCACCACAACAAAAGCACTGCACTTGGTCATCAACACCTGTATAGTAGAGCCCAGCACTAGCTAACTCTCTTGGGGTTAAGTGGGCATAGTCTGGCCAGTTCTGAAATGACTTTAACCGAGCTTCTTCACTACACATGGCAGGGTTCCTCGGGTATACAGTGTCGGACATATCTACAACCTGTCCAGTTCTCAAAAGATAGTCTGCATGAGTCTCAGATGACCTGTCTAAAGCAAAATGATTTCTGTCTCCCAGGTAGTTTTCAGCTTTGTACTGACAATTCTGGATGCCAGAATTGGTAGGTTGCGCGGCATTATTTTCAAAATAATAGCCATTGATAAATCTGCAATTTGGGGATACTTTCCTGTGTCTTCCAACTGCTGAGTCTCCATACTGCCATCTATCTACTGCTGCGTGACAACTAAAGCACTGCACGGTGTCTCCTTCACCAGTATATAGAAAACCAGCTCGTGCTAGCGTTGATGCTGAAACAGGACTACTACTTGGAAAATTAGCAAAAGTTTTTAATCTATTAAACTCTTCTACAAATTCTTCATCCTTATCGATGGCTGCAGGTACACAAGTTTTAGATCCTCCAAAACAGTTAAAAGTCATCTTCTCTTGAAAATAGGACTTGTCCACCTTTTCTAAAAAGAGAACATTACATTAGGAAATCACTTTTGATATTAGGAACTAACAAATTACCCACTTATAAAATTACACAAGCTCTAAAAACCATTCTAATTCTAAATACTAGAGTTCTACATTACCACATGTTTTAAGTCATAAAGTAAAATCTAGCATTTTTGTTTTCTCTTTCAGAGGAAATACTTAAGCAAGTAGAACAGAACTATTCATTTTTAAGTGCTTATTTTCACACAAATATAGAAACTGTGATGCAGAATATATTAAAATTAACCATGTGAAATCATTAATTAGGGAAAACATGAAAGCATAAAATATGCAGATTCTTAAAGTCTATGCATAATTGTTATAATGGATTATTATATATTCGAGGCATCAAAGTTCAGTTTCTACAATTTAAAAAAAAGAATGTTCAGAAAGCTAATGAATTAATTTTAATATTTTTTTTTTGCTTAACAAAAGAGAAAGTATTCACAATAATGATTCCAATGGGTTCTTTAAGTACATCAAGTTTCTGATTTTCATGCATAAACGAGGGCATTTTTCATTGAAATTGGATCATTTTAGATGTATATACTACTGCCCTCTAGAGGGTGGCTCAGGAGGAATACCAAGTACAGTATGTGTAGTTCCTTTTGCTGTCAACTTCCCATGGTCAAGGAAGTTTAAATACAAGAAGTACCATTGCAGCCCTAACTGGTTTGGCTCAGTGGGTAGAGCGTCGGCCTGCGGACTCAAGGGCCTTAGGTTCGATTCTGGTCAAGGGCATGTACCTTGGTTAAGGGCACATAACCAGTAGGGAGTGTGTACGAGTGTGACAGATGTTTCTCTCTCATTGATGTTTCTAACTCTCTATCCCTCTCCCTTCCTCTCTGTAAAAAAATCAACAAAACACATTAAAAAAAGTACCATTACAGCCTCATTACATCTGCCAAATCATAACTGTGTAATCTTTAACCCAGGTTAAAAAAAAAAAAGAGGAACTAGTTGGATTATGAGAAGGATGGTCAGTTACTTATCCTCAAAACCTAGATACTTTTTGAAACTGAAAACTGATGCTACTAACAATTACCCTGGGACAATAGGCTGAAATCGGAGTTGCCTTAGGCAAACCTGATTCTCCAGAATTTCACACAGTTGGGAACACTACTCTAAATATGCTTGTCAATGCAAAATAAAAGAACAGTCACAATGTCTCTGTCTCTACTTCGTAAGTGCATTAATTGATTTCTTAGGAAGAATAACCAGCTCTTTTGACATTATGCCGGCACAGTATGACTTGGAACATCATCCCTCTTAATGTTCAACAAGGCTTCTGTCTTGTGGGCTGGCAATGGACATCAGTCCTTCTCGACTATGTCAGTTTACAATGGTATTAATCCACGTATACCTCAAAAGCTGAGTTATACTGCATACAATTTTTGGAAGAATCTCCATGATTTTTAAAATATATATATTTTATTGATTTTTTTACAGAGAGGAAGGGAGAGGGATAGAAGATTAGAAACATCGATGAGAGAATCATCAATCAGCTGCCTCTTGCACACCCCCCTACTGGGGATGTGCCCGCAACCAAGGTACATGCCCTTGACCAGAATCGAACCTGGGACCTTTCAGTCTGTAGGCTGACGCTCTATCCACTGAGCCAAACCGGTTTCGGCTCCATGACTTTTGATTGTTTCTCAATATATCTGAAAATATTCTGATACCAGTTTCAAGGTCCTTTGTTCAATCAGCATAAACTGGATGTCAAAAATCAAGATTCAAAGAAACCAAAGCTGGCTGATAGGCTAATGAGATAAATTAACAAGGATATGTGTAAAATTTTACAATCTGACTTGAAAAATATGTTGTACAACTAAAGGAAGATGGAAACTTGATTTGGAAAGAAGTCACGTTAAGGCAAAGCAGAATAAAATCTTGGGATTTTAGTTAATTACAAATTCATTATGAGCCAACACTACATGGCTGATAAAAAACTTAAAGCAACTTCAGGCTGCATTAATGTCCAGATGTGCAACATCCAGAGCCAATTCAGCTATATTTTGAATATTATTTTAAATTCTGAACAAATTTTAGAAGGGACATTACACACATTAACAAAGTGTAATGGCCTTAAAGAGCAATCAGGATGATGAAAATGGTGTCCTATGAGAAATAGTTTTAAGAGCTAAGTGTGTTTATCACAAAGGGAAAAAAATTGTGAGGAGCGGGATATGGAGGACAGAATAACTGCCTTTAGATATCTAAGATGCTTTCACATAGAAGAGGGATCCAGATTCTGTGAAACATGAGGGCAGATTTAAAATCAAGAAACTAGGCCTAGGGGTTTGGCTTTGTAGATAGAGTATCGGCCTATGAACTGAAGGGTCCCAGATTCAATTCTGGTCAAGGGTATAAGCCCAGGTTGTGTTCTTGATCCCCAGTAAGGAGTGTGCAGGAGGCAGCCAATCAATGATTCTCTCTCATCATTGATGTTTCTATCTTTCTCTCCCTCTACTTTCCTCTCTGAAATCAATAAAAATATTTTTTAAAAAGAAACATAACTACTATAGATTTTAAAACCAATACAAGGATGAGCAGTTACAATAATCAATAGCAGTACAAAATGGGTTGTAATGCCTTGTGGAATATGAGTTCCTTACATCATTGGAAGGTATTTCAAGATTGACTATGAGAGAGTACTATGTAAACATTTCTAAGTCCTAATTACCCTGAAGAATTAATGCTCAATATAATCCATATAAAATTACTTTCTCTAAGATGTTTTATTTCTCAGATCAATCAAAATAGAAGTGTAAAATCAATGATTCATTGTCATTTCACAATTGTGTACATTTTGTGTGGTTTAAGCAACCACCTTATTTCAGATGTTATATAGAACTCCACCATTCAATATTATTAGCAGGAAAATCTCTATTTGAAGCTTTCAAGTGGAGACTTCATTGTCCCAGGGGTCATTTCTGTGCTACTAGTTTAGATTTCGCTTTTTTAAAAAGCAGATATGTTTTGTCCTGGCCGGTTTGGCTCAGTGGGTAGAGTGTTGGCCTGCGGACCCAAGGGTCCCAGATTTGATTCTGGTCAAGGGCACATACTGTTGCAGGCTCAATTCCCAGTGGGAAGCATGCAGGAGGCAGCCAATTAATGATTCTCTTTCATCACTGATGTTTCTATCTAACTCTCCCTCTCCCTTCCTCGCTGAAATCAATAAAATATTTTTCTAAAAAAGCAGATATTTATTGAGAAGCACTCAACACTACATATATAATATCAGAGTGAGAGCTTCTGGAGAAGGGTGAGAAAATGAAATTACCAGAGAAGTTAAAAGTGAAAGGTAGAATGATGACTGACAAAAGACAGAAACCTTTGCTTTGGAAGAAGACTCCAAAAGAAAGGGAGAATTTTTTTTTAAAGCATTTAAGTGAAATGAAGGTGTGGAAGAGGATATTTAGAAAATAAGTATACACAGAGCACAAGAACTTTAAATACAGAATGAAATAGGTATGGGTATTGGAGAAGGGTGATAAAATGCTTTTTGAGTATAAAAAGGTCTGAATGCATTAAAGTATGCTAAGCCCGGCCAGTATGGCTCAGTGGTTGAGTGTTGAACCATGCACAAAGAAGTCTACTGGTTTGATTCCCAGTCAGGGCACGTGCCTGGGTTTCAGGCTATATTCCCCAGCAAAAGGCATGCTGATTGATGTTGATGCATTGATGTTTTTCTCCCTTTCCTTTCTATAAAAATCAATAAAAACATATTTTAAAAAAGATTCACTGCTAGTTAAAAAAAAGTACGCTGAGATAATTTAAGGCTTCTTTGTAAAAGCATATTCAGTCTCTGTACTGGGTAAGCAGAAAGGTAAAAAGGCACAGAAAAAAATCTTCAGGGGAACAGTGCTTGAAAAAATGGCACTATGAAAGCAAACACTGGCAAAAAAGACTCAGCAAGTAGAGGTACATGATTATATGGGGGGTATGGAAGACTTTAAGATGTGAGATGTGTTTAAAATATACATACACACACAGTATATGTATATATAGCCTAGTCAACTAGGTAAAGATAGCCACTAGCAGGTGCCGAAGAGAAGAGGCTGACTGCTAATTTATGATAATGTGGGAATAAGGACTTTTGAAGGAGAGAGGAAAATGCCCACAAAAGACTCACCTTCTTGGTATTTGCATATATTACAAAAGTTTCTATTCCCTGGGTTTTTATTATTAAATATACAAAATAAAAGCGATTTTAATGGGGGAGAGGAATATAAAATAGGAGGTACATCAGACTGATGCTGTATGAAAATATATACTCATAGACAAGACCTAGAAGGCAATTAAATTACAAAATTAAAAACAATTATGCCGTCCAGCTGTCAAGGGTGTGGTGAAAATGGGCATGCTCACTCATGCTGAAAAAAATGTAAACAAGTAGAACCTTTTGGGAAAGTAATTTGGCAATGCTTATATTCATCAGAATCTATAATATATCTAGGAATCTACTTTAAAAAATGATCTGAAATGTGAGAAAGATATACATGAAGATGCTTGTCATGGCTTTATTTATAACTAGAGACCCAGTGTACAAAATTCATGCACGGGGGATGGAGGAGTGTCCCTCAGCCCAGCCTGCACCCCCACCAAACTTGGGCCCCTCACACAATCTAGGACTGCTGACTCCCAACCACTCACTCGCCTGCCTGCCTGATCACCCCCTAACCACTCCCCTGCCAGCCTGATCGATGCCTAACTGCTGCCCTATTGGCCCGATTACCCCTAATTGCCCTCCTGTGCTGGCCTGTTTGCCCAAAACTGCCCTCCCCTGCAGGCTGGTCACCCCCAACTGCCCTCCCCTACAAGTTGGTTCCCCCCAACTGCCCTCCCTTACAGGCCTGGTCTTTCCTAGCTGCCCTCCCTGATAGCGTGATCTGCTAGCCCTCTTGTGTGTTGGAGTGATGGTCAATTTGCATATTACC